CCCCCCCCACCCTCCAGCACCTCACCTCCCTTCCTTCCCGCGTGCCTGTCTCTTCCTTTCGTTTTCTCCCTCCATCTGTCACGGATACGCATACACAGCTCCTTTTCACAACTTGTTTTCATTTTTATCAACGTCTGTGTACCCTGTTGGTCTAGATCTGGCCCCTAGGTGTCTGAACAGTTCTCTGTAGCCACTTCAGAATATGCCATAGCTGATTCTAGGTTTCTGGCCCAGGCTCTGCATTTACTGGCCACACAAGATGTTATTTGGAATGGTTGGAGTTTCCAGTGTTTCTCGTTCCCGCTCTGCTCATTTTCACTTGGTGTCTTGTTCAGCTTGTGGTAGCAGATGAATATCATTGGCCTTACTCTTCTGTGAGGCATTCTCGAACAGGAAGGGGATGACTGAGGCGGTTTGTTTCTCACATTCCTTTGAGGGGGTCTTTTTGTCTTCTTGGCTTCCTTCTGCACCTGGAAAGGCAACAGGGTGAGTCAGCATGGCATTTGTTTGGGGGAAGGGGATGGGAATGTATAGGAATGGGGCTTCATGAGTAGAGAGGTGGGTTGAGGAAGGGGGTTGTGTCAGGCAAGGCAGGGTAAGAGACTTGGGGAGACCTGTGGGGAAGAAGAAGAAGAAAGCATGGGTGGGATCATCTGACCTTGCCGCTGTGCCTGGTCTTGGGTTGACAGGAAGTCTTCTTCCCCTTCTTTCTTTTGGTTCTTGGGTCTGGCTGTTCCATGCTTCTGTTTGATCGTTTCATACTTATATAAGGCTCCTCTGGTATGCAGATCTTACCAGCCTTATTTAAGCCTCCTAGTGGTCTACCCCATGGCTCCTGGCCAGGCTCCTGACCAGTGAGGAGCCACACCCTTCAGCTTTGTTTGATCAGGAGCTCCCCTGGCCAATGGTAATGTTGAAGTGGCTTGGGCATCACAATGCACTGCTCCTGACACCTCTGTGGTGGCAGGGAGGACAGGATGCTACGGTTGGAGGAGAGGGATGTTTCCTCAATGCCCCCTAAAGATCCATCTCAAAGTGACCTGCTACCCCTCCTCATTTCCTCATGTTCAATTCTAGTGGGTCCCATGGAAGGGAGAGAGTGTTTCCCCAAAGACATTCCCCCCAGCCACTCCATTCAGGGGCTCATTCTGTTCTCTCCCATTCTTTACCATAACCTATCATCTTGGATATCTCGCCTAAAGTCTCTCCAAGGTAATGTGGCCTTATTTACTTTTCTAGGAAGATGTGAATTGTTCCACTTTCCTCCAACAGTTTTCCCTTTTGTGCCTGTTTTTGTATGGCCCATGAGCTAAGAAAGTTTCTTTTTTTTTCTTTTTTTTTTTTTTTAGCATTTTTAAATGGTTGAGAACAAAATCAAAAGGAGAATATTTCATGATGTGAAAATTATAGGAAATTCAAATCTCGTGGCCCATAAAATTTTATTAGAACACATACACTCATTCACTTAAATACTGTCAGTGGTTGCTTTCACACAGCAGAGTTTAGTAGTTGCAACGAAGACTGTACAGCCCGCAATACAAAATATTCACTATCTGTCTCTTTAGAGAAAAAGGTTGCCAACTCCTGCTCTTTTCTCTTCCATTGATCTATTTGCCCATCCTTATGCCAATACCACACACTGTGCAATTTTGGGTCAGGGGAAGAGAGAATCCTAAGCAGACTCCGTGCCCGGCGTGGAGCCTGACTCGGAGCTCAAGCCCATGACCACGAGATCATGACCTGAGCCGAAATCAAGAGTCGGATGCTTAACTGACTGAGCCACCCAGGCATCCTGATTACTGTAATTTTTGAAGAATGTTTATTTATTTATTTTGAGAGAAAGAGAGTGTGTGGCTGGGGGAAGGGGAAGAGAGAGATGGGGAGAGAGAGAATCCCAAGCGGGCTCCATGCTGCCAGCGGAGAGCCTGATGCGGGACTTGAACTCACCAACTGTGAGACCATCACCTGAGCTGAAGTGGGATGCTTAACGGATGGAGCGTGATGTGGGGCTTGATCTCACAAACCCAGGGATCATGACCTGAGCCGAAATCAAGAGTTGGATGCTTAACTGACTGAGCCACCCAGGTGCCCCAATTATTATAATTTTATAATAAGTACTAAAATGAGCTAGTGCAGCTTATCCAACTTAGCTCTTGTGTAGAGCCCTTCACATATTCATATAAATTTTGAATTTAGCTTTTCTATAAACGTTAAAGCCTGCTACGATTTTATTGTGATGGTGTTGAATTTGTATATGGATATAGGGAGAACTGAAATCTTAAAACAATATTGAGACTTTCCATCCATGAACATGTTGTATCTCTCCACTTATTTAGGTCTTAATTTATGTCTGTAATGTTTTTTTAATTTTCTTTTTTTAAAAAAATGTTTATTTATTTTTGAGAGAGAGAAGGAGCACAAGCAGGGGAGGGGCAGAGAGAGAGAGACAGGGGCAGACAGAGAATCCGAAGTGGGCTCCAGGCTCCAAGCTGTCAGTACAGAGCCCGACATGGGACTCAAACTCACAAACTGTGAGACCATGACCTGCACTAAAGTTGGACGCTTAACCGACTGAGCCACCCAGGCGCCCCTAATTTTCAATGTGCAACTCCTGCACAATTTTTGTTAAGTTGATTCCTAAGTATTCTATGTTTTGATGCCGTTGTAAATGGAATTGTGTTTAATTTCTGATTTTTTGCCAGTGTCAAATTGTGTAGAAATGCAACTGATTATCATATATTGGCCTTACATCTCCTGAGTTTTATGAATTCACTTATTGGTTCTAGTAGTTGTTTTGTAGATTCCTTTAGATTTTCTACCTAAACTGTTGGCTGCGAATAAATACAGTTCTACTTCTTTTCCTATCTTTATGCCATTTATAATTTTAATACCTAGGCTGTGTTCTCCAATAATGGACATAGTTGATGAGAATTGGCATTTTTGTACTACTTCTGATCTTGGAAGGGAGGTATTAAATATTTCACCCTTATTTATGCTATTGGTCATGGGATTTCTTGTTGATTCCCTTTATCAGATTGAGAAAGTTCCCTTTTTGTTTCTCATTTGCTGAGAGGTTTTATTATGAATGGGTATTGAATTTTGTCAAATGCATTTTCAGCGTCTTTTTAACCATATGTTTTTCATGTCTATTCTATTAATGGGAAATATATTAACTGATTTTAAAGTTTTTATTGAAATTCCAGTAAACCAACGTACAATATAATATTAGCTTCAGATGTACAACATAGTGATTCAGCATTTCCATACAATACTCAGTGCTCATCACAAGTGCCCTCCTTAATCCCCATCACCTATTTAATCTACGCTCCCATTCCCACCCCTCCAGTAACCATCAGTTTGTTCTCAATAGTTAAGATCTGTTTCTTGGTTTGCCTCTCTCTCTCTTTTTTCCCTTTGCCCATTTGTTTTGTTTCTTAAATTACACATATTTAGGTGAAGTCATATGGTATTTGTCTTTCTCTGACTTATTTCATTTAGCGTAATACTCTCTAGCGTATTTGTCATTGCAAATGACAAGATTTCATTCTTTTTTATGGCCGAGTAATATTCCATTATATATATATATATATATATATATACATACATATTCTCATGTGTTCTTTATCCACTCATCAGTCAATGGACATTTGGGCTGTTTCCATAATTTGGCTATTGTAGATAATGCTGCTATAAACATCAGGGTGCACGTATCCCTTTGAATTAGTCTTTTTGTATTCTGTGGGTAAATACCCAGTAGTGAGATTGCTGGATTGTAGGGTAGCTCTATTTCTAACTTTTTGAGGAACCTCCACACTATTTTCCACAGTGGCTGCACCAGTTTGCATTCCCACCATGAGTGCAAGAGGTTCCTTTCTCTCCACATCCTCACCAACACCTGTTGTTTCTTGTGTGGTGGATTTTAGCCATTCTGACAGGCATGAGGTGACATCTCATTGTAGTTTAGGTATTTCTCCTGAGGCAAGGGAAACAAAAGCAAAAATAAACTATTGGGACTATATCAAAATAAAAAGCTTCTGCACAGCAAAGGAAACTATCAACAAAACTGAAAGGCAACCTATGGAATGGGAGAAGGTATTTGCAAATGACATATTCAATAAAGGGTAAGTATCCAAAATATATTTTAAAAAACTTATAAAACTCAACACCCCAAAAATGAATAATCCAGTTAAAAATGGGCAGAAGACATGAATAGACATTTTTCCAAAGAAGACATACAGATGGCCAACAGACACATGAAAAGATGTTCAACATCATTTATCATCAGGGAAATGCAGATCAGGATAATTACAAAAACCAAAATCGTTGTATTTGATTTGCTAATGTTTTATTAAGGATTTTTGCATCAATTTTAATGAGTGATTTTGGTCTATGGTTTTCTTTCTTTTTGATTTCTTTGTGATACTTAGATATCAAGGGCATAAACCAGTCTAGAGGAGCTCTTGTCCATATTTTCTGAATGAGTTTGCTTAAGATTGGTATTAGATTTTTCTTAAGTATTCAGAGCATTCACCAGTGAAGCCATCAACTCTTGGAAGTTTCCTGTGAGAAGGTTTTATGTTTCAAGTTAATTTTGATATTTGCATTATTTAAAAATTCCAGTCTTGTGTTTTGGTAAAGTGTTTTTCCAAGAAGTTTGCCATTTCATCTAAATTGTTGAATTTGTTAGTATGAAGTCATGTATGATATTCCCTCTGTAGTTTTCAAATATCTCTAGCATGCGTAGTGATGCCACTTTTATAATTCCTGAAATTGGTAACTTGTGTTTTGTGTCTTTTTTTCTTGATTACTTCTAGCTAGGCTCCTGTCAGTTTTATTAATCTTAAAAACAAACTTACATTTGACTTTCTTCATTTTTTCAATGTTTTGTCTTTTTCTATCTCACTGACTTTTCTCTTTTCTCTTTTTTCTATTTAATTTGGACTTACTTTACTTTTCTTTTCATAGTTTCTTAAAGTAGAATCTCGTATCATTCATTTTAAGCCTTTTGTCTTTCCTAATATGAACTTAAAACTACAAAATTGATACTTAAGACCGCTTTAGCTGCAACTCACAAAATTTGATATATTGTGTTTTCTTATGCAGTTTGATTTATCTTCTAATTTCAATTATTTCTTTTTAAACCATGCGTTATTTTTAAATTTTTTAAATATTTATTTATTTTTAGAGAGAAAGGAGAGACAGAGCATGAGCATGAGCATGAGCATGAGCTGGGGAGGGGCAAAGAAGGAGACATAGAATTTGAAGCAGGCTCCAGGCTCTGAGCTGTCAGCACAGAGCCTGACATGGGGCTTGAACTCACAAACCGTGAGATTGTGACCTGAGCTGAAGTCAGATGCTTAACCGAGTGATCCACCCAGGTGCCCCTAAACCATGGGTTATTTAGAAGTATGTTTCTGATTTCAAAATATTTGGAGATTTTTCCATTTATGTTTTTGTTATTGATTTTTTTTATCTAATTCTGCTGTGGTTAGAGAACACATTTTTATGATTTAAATCTTTTAAAGTTTATTGAAACTCATTTTATGACCCAGAATTAGATCTATCTTGGTGTAGGTCAAAGCTGGTTGACAGTAGTTTTCAAATATGATACATCTTCATTGATTTCTTTGTCTTCTTGATTTATCAGTTATTAACAGAAGAGAGCTTAAACCTCCATCTATGATCGTGGATTTTTCTTTTTCTCCCTTTACTTTTGTAAATTTTCGCCTTACCTATTTTGAAACTCTATTATGGCATACTCATTTAGGATTGTTATATATTCTTTTTAAAAAATTTTTTTTAACGTTTATTTATTTTTGAGACAGAGGGAGACAAAGC